TGGGTGCTAATTTACAAAGCACATAATTTACATTTGTGGTTTTAAAGCTCTTTTTGAAAAACACATTTAGGAGTTTGATAAAAGCCTTTCTCCAAAAATGCAAACATGCCTATGCATATAAAATGTTACATGCCCATTGAAGTCCAAATATAGTTCCCCTCAATTTATAGGGAACTCACCAACCTCAGATAAAGATCCCTTATTTAGGAAATCATTTACATTTTTAAGAGATCTTTCTCCTAGCTTTTCAATAGCATGGTCCCTTGAGTAATTTACATTTGTCATTTTATAAAAACTTATTTACCCACAACTTGACATTAACAGGACACTTCTTCCAAACCCTTTAAATTCTTGCAATACTAAAAACAAACTCTGGTGTCCTTTGTCCACTAATATTAAGAATGCTCACAAGATGTGTGGCCCTGAACTAAGGGGTGGCAAAGAAGAGAATTCCAAGATATTGTCAAGGCCAGTAACCTTGAAAAGTTTATAATCTATTTGCACAGTCTGTTCTATTAAAAAAAACACACACACACAACTCCTTTCAACAATTTACTGACTATTTTGAACAAAAACAGGTGTAGTTTTTAAGATGAAACCATTAGCCCTAACAGATCTGGCACAGTTCATAGAGCATCGGCCTGTGGACCAGAGGGTCCTGGGTTCGGTTCTAGTCTCAGTTGCAGACTCCTTCCTACCTGGCCCGGGGCTGTGCAGAAGGCAACCAATTGATGTGTTACTCTCACATTGATGCTTCTCTCTCTCTTTCCCTCTCTCTAAAAATCAATGGACAAATATCCTCAGGTAAGGATTAAAAAAAAAAGGTGAAACCTTTACATGGATAGGAAAAGCAATTCTGTAGAAAAAGAAACCAGAAAATAGAGTCACAGAAATTAAAGAAATAACACGACCAAACAACTACATTTTTAAAGTAACTTATACCTAAGAATGTGTCTGATTTAGCAAATACACCTAGCTTAAAAAACTAGCCAACTCACAAGTCACCTTGAAAACTGGAAATACAAAAACATTGAATTAACTGTAATTACTAAACTCAATAGAATTAATAACTCAAAAATGACACATTCCATAAAGATTTTACCTACCAAAAAAAATTACTGCAAAATATTAAGACAGCAAAGATTTAAGCAGCTGGGGAACAAAAAACATGGCTGGTATATGTTATACACCCCCATTATCATGCCCATGGCAAACATCACTAATTAATCACACCACACTTTCCCCCCATTGAGTCTCATAATCTCAACAGAGCCTTCCAGTAGAAATCAGGAGGGCATTAAAACTGAACCTGTTTATTTCCTTGACAGCTGTTTTTAAAATACTATTCAAGTCAACTAAATGAAGCACCAAAAGTTTATGTATTTAACGTTCAATGAATTTATACTAAATTTTATTTATTTTGAGGTGTTTCCCAACACAAAAAATCTTCTTTAAAAGTTTAAAAACTTCTTTATTAAACAGAATATGATGGTCAACATAACTTTACTTAATTAGTAAAAAATACGTTTTTAAAAATGTAAACACCCTCCCCCATGAAAGGGTTCTAGAAAACTGCAACTAACTATACTTTTGGCAGCATTCACTTTTTACCCAATTTGAATTAAAAAAAGACAAAATAACTTTTTCTGAAGTATTAATAAAATAAAATCAGACATGCCTATAAGACTTAGGGATTGCCAAAGCCGGTTTGGCTCAGCGGATGGAGCACCGGCCTGCGGACTGAAGGGTCCCAGGTTCGATTCCGGTCGAGGGCATGTACCTGGGTTGCAGGCACTTCCCCAGTGGGGGATGTGCAGGAGGCAGCTGATCGATGTTTCTCTCTCATCGATGTTTCTAACTCTCTATCTCTCTCCCTTCCTCTCTGTAAAAAATCAATAAAATATATTAAAAAAAAAAAAAAAGACTTAGGGATTAAAAAATACAAAGTATAATACATATGTATAAATCACGTGAGAGAAAGAAGCACTAACTGTTCTTAAAATTTCAATGAAATACAGGTCAATATTAGAAATACTCTAAAGAGAATGTATGTGGCCATTTAAGATTTCTGTCCCTTACAAAAAACAATCCTAGGTAGAACAGACTCCAGAAAGGAGATGATACCAAAGGAAATAAAAACCCTGGAACGCTAGGATCATATTACAGGTGGGTGATGTTTAGCATAAAATACACTAAGTGGAAGGAGTGAAAACCTGGATTCAGGAAGTTGTATGAGAACACTGTGGGGTGAGGAAGAGTTATTTCCTAAATCCTCAAATCTAGCAAAGAAAGACCATATTCTAAAAACCAGAAGGCTCCAACTTCCTGGCCTCAATAGCAGTACTCAAGTATTATATAAATATAGATAACGTTAACAGATGACAACACAATGTGAGGAATATAAACACTATTTACCTACCCAAGTCCAACCTCAATTGGTACTGATACTAAAAAGAATAAATTGCTCTGAGAAAGTATCTTTTAGTGTCCATTAGAGGAAACTGAATATATGTGAAAATACTTTTTCAGTGAAGTTCTTTCAGAAGCTGTAAGCATAACCTCAAATTATATATATTTACAGATTGTAGAACTCCCTATGTATATCCACTCCGATCTTTTCCCCACATTGCACTATACTGCACTACTTTTTGATCCCTAAGTACAGAAGTATACTAAACATTCCTGCCCAGGGCATTTTTTCTCCCTAAAACAGGAGTGAAACACGATCTGTAAAGACTTGAAATATTCCTGAAGTGTGTCTAAAACCTTTAAGAAAACATTTGCAACCAAATGTCACTTAGTGCTTTTTCCTTTGCACAGGCCACTTACTTGGAGGACAATGAATTTACAATTTGCCTAAGTTGCCAAACTACATATGGAGGTAAAAGCAAACCAACTTTACTCCATAAAACAATTTTAAGTAAATGAGCATGACACCAAGAAATGACACCAGGGTTAATGCCTGGGTAGTTATTGCTAGAAAGAGATTTAGAGAGCAAAGAGAAATAAATTCTCACTTCGCTTACATTTACGGGGCGCCTTTTTTTCCCAAAGTGGCTTTAATCTTAGTGGCAGTACATAAACAGAGCACTTACAATACAGAACCTATCTGATAAATGGGAGAGGATATCTGACGACTTACCAAAGCTTCTGCCGAGGGCCAGTTAAGGAAAGCCAGTTTTCCTACCACTGAAAGGAACGAAGGGGGGGGGGGGGCAAGTCACAATAACCCGTCGTCTTCCTTTAACCTTGTCTAGAAAAACAAGTGTCCCAAATGTGCACCGTCTAGAGCACTCTAGACTCTAGTAGACCGAGACTCCAGCCTTTGGTAACGAGTAACGAAAAGCTGCGACTGAAGCCCCAACTTACCTCCTGGATGCGCTTCCTGGCGCGCTGGAGCACTTCTTCGTAGCCCTTCTGCCGCAGCTCGCTGAGGCTTTCGTAATACTCCTCGGGGTCGTCGGTCTCAGTGAACAGTACCTGGGAGAGGATCTTCCAACCGCAGGTGTCCAGGCCGTGGCCCAGGTAGACCTGGAGCTGGTAACACAGAGTGTCGATCTCCTGCTCCGTCATCTCTGGGGCGCCCCCAAACAGCACGGTCCACATACCCGAGGGCTCCTCGGGGAAGACCGGCAGGCACGGCTCCAGCTGCGAGTTCACCGAGCACAGCTGCTGGTGCACCGCGCGCAGGTCCTGGAAGGAGAAGAGCCCGGCCCAGCTGCACTCCTCGGCCGCGGACTCTAGTTCGGTGGCCGGTTGCTCCGTGTCGGAGAGCGCCAGGGACGCCGGGGCCGCTTCGTCCTCCCTCACCATTTCCAGCACCTCGATCTCCTCGGAGACGGCCCCGCAGGCGCTCACTACCCGCACCGAGGACACGGGGACCTCCTTGGGCGCCGGTGGGACTGCCGCAGCGGCGGCCCCCGTCACATCTCTGCCTTCCGATCCCTTCCGGACCGGGGTGGGCTTGGCCCGCACGGGGCTCCGGAGAGGGCTCTCCGCCCCTTTGGCGGCTGAACTCCGTAGCAGCGAATCCCCCCGAAGATTGCGCGTACTCCGTGGAGAGCCGCTCTCCGCCCAGGCCGGGCTCCTCCGGGGCCCCGGGCTCCTCCCCGGAGTCGCAGAGGCAGTGGCCTCCGGCCGCCCCTTGCCCGCGGGGCTGCCCGGCCCGCGAGTCCCGTCGGACGCGGCAGCACCGGACTCGGCGCCCCCTCGCGTCCCCGCCGGCTCCCGGGAGCCGCTCCTCTGCCTCTGGGCCGTCCGGTTGTGGCAGGTTATGGCAAACTTGCCCTCGATCTCGTTCCAGGCCACAATAAAGACGAACTTGTGCTTCTCGCGCTCGTCGAACACATGGGGCCGCACAGCCACCCAGTCCGATTCGAGCGTCTCCTCCAGCGCGAACGACATGGTGGCTCCGGCGCCAGGCCGCGGGGGAGGCGACGCTGGTCCTGCCCGCCCGAGGACTCACCGGCTGGCTGCGCCGCGCCCCCCGCTCACCCTCGCCGGGCGCCTTCAGCCATCTTAGCGTCCCAGCCGGCTCTCCTCGCTTGGCCGCCCGTCCTCCCCGCACTCGGACCCGCCGCGCTCCTTTGTGAACCGGCTCGCGGGAGAGACGGACAATGCGCGTCCCTGGAGCAGGTAGTTCACATGGTCACGTGCAGCCGGATCTGTTTACAAGCCCCGCGCTGTGGCAGCGCCCCGCGCCCGCCCGCCCACCGCGCGAGGCCTCGGTGCTGCGTCTGCGGCGCCCAGGAGGTAAGACGCGGGTCCCGCGGGGCCGGAAAGGCCGGCGGGCGGTGGGGGCCGGCGGTGTGCGCGTCTCCTCCGCTCGCCCGGGCCGATCTCCCCGCCTCCTCCTCTTCCCGACCGCGCGGAGCTGTCTGACGGATGGACGCGTCTCCTCAACTCTGAGCTTCGGTATCGCCACAATGTTAGCATTCGGCTGCTGACGTCGGCGGCTCCACGAGGGACGTAAACACCGGCACGTGCCGCACGCTGGTGACGCGGCGGCGGCGGCGGCGCGCACACCCCGCCCGCGCGCGCCGGCGCCGCCCCTCGGCGTCTCCCCGCCCCTCCCGCGAGCACCGCGCTCCGACCCTTTCCTCCCTGAGCTCCGCCGCCGCCTCCCGCAGGCTGCGGGGTCTGAGGGGGTTAGGGTGACAGGTGGCCTCCGAACCCCGGGAGAAAAGGAGCAAAGGCTGAGGAACGGAGACTTTTCGAACTCCAGCCGTTCCAAGGGGGCCCTCAAATGTAAGTCCGCCTCCATCCCCCTGGGGGGAGTCGGGATGGAGAAGTCCTCTATTCTGTACTCCGTAACATTACGCGAACCTTGTGATGAACTTTTGGGGTTCCCCCAAACTGTTGGATGTACCCTCACACCCTCGAGACACAATTTCATCGGTGTTTTATTGCTTCACGTTTCATCATGGTGCAGTTCTTTGAGCCTCATTTTGAGATCATTGGTTTGAGCACTTTTGAAGTTGTGTTCAATTAGGGATTTCCAGAATGCACATGCAAAAAATAAAAATAAAAATCATGTAAATCTGGAGAATGCTGCTGTCCATACTGAACTATGATAAAACATTCTTAAAACATCCTAGTGGATCTTATGATCCAGTGTACGTTATTGGCATTTTTTTCTTATTCGTGTCCAATTCATGTTGCAGGTATTCTGCATCCGCAGTAAAGTACAATGAGCATTCGTTCTTTTACTTTTATACATATTTCAAAAACATATGCAAAATCGCTTGAATTAACCGTGCATTGTCAGCTACACTTACTTTTGCTTCAGTGTTGTCCTGACATCTGACTAAACAGCAGAAGTTTTAGCCCCGTCGCTCAGGACATTTTAGACCTATGGATCTGCTTTGACAGTGAAAGGGAGAGGGGCACTTTGGGCAGGGTGAGCCAAGAGGGAACAGAACTGGCTTTTAAACCTTTTTGCAGTTCTTCATGTGGAACCACACATTTTCAAAGCTTGTAAATGAACTTGTGTCAACTCTCAGATGCAAATCAGAGAAGGTAGGAATAAAGAAAACCCATCACAAATAGTTATCACCATCTAAGCAAACAATAGCACATTATAGAAAAAAATTTTCATCTTTTCTACTGAAAAGTTACTCCTGAAAGTTTTTCCTGATAAAAAGTGGGCATAATCACTAGGTCTCTTCATGTAATACATTATGGATAAGTCTGAATAAGAATAAGCAAACAAAGAGTGTGTTTCTAGGAAACATTTTTATATACATGTATTGCAGTATTTATCCACAGATATAAAATTATGCCTTATCACTGTAGTGTTAAAGAAACTTGACTGGTGGTCACACGGGTATTAAATATTTTCCCCTAGTCCTCTGGCCACTGTGTTTTGTCAAAAGGGTTGTTTCAATGGTTCTTGTTTCCTCTATCTAAGTAATTGTTACACTAGAAATGAAAAGAAACAAACAAAAATTCCCATGGAAGGCTACTGTAGTACTCTACAATTCTTTGTTTAGGTCTGTATCTGATTGTCAAGCGAGATCTCTGAGTGTATAAATTACTTCCTGGGAATACGTAAAGCTACAGAAAAGGCACGTACACCATACTAGCTTTGAAAGGGGTTGAAAATGTTTATCTCTTGCAATTTTTTTAAACTGCTGTGAATTGTTAGGTAATCTGGGAAATGCTTTAACTCTTTAGGTCTTTTAATAAAAACCATACTAGTTTACATAGTGATTTTCAAATTTCATAGCATTTTCCTGTACATATTTATTTTATCTTTATAATAATCATATAATATAGGTATGAAAGGAATAAATCTTTACATTTTATACATAAAAATAGTTTGGATTAGCTAGGTTAAACATCCCAGGATTGAGAGCAGGGGACAACTTGGGTTAAGGGCCTAATGGACATCTGTTCTAGTTAGATTCTCTCAGAAGCAGACACTAAAAAGTCAGGAATGTCCAAATGTATTGGAGGGCAGTGGATGGTGTAACACCTGTGAAAGAAAAAGGACTGATGTAGAATTGGAGCTCCAGACCAAAGATTAGGTGTGTGTTTTTCAAATTTTATTTTTCAATTACACTTTACATTCAATATTATTTTGTATTAGTTTCATGTGTGCTGCATAGTGTTAGACAATCATAAACTTTACAAAATATTCCTCCCAATATTTACAGTACCCACCTGGCACTCTGCATAGTTATTACAATATTATTGACTATATTTCTTATACTGTACTTTTTAATCCCTTCACCATTTTCACCCAGTCCCCCAACCTACTTCCCCTCTGGCAACCATCAGTCTGTTCTCTGTATCTATGAGCCTGCTTCTATTTTGTTTGTTCATTTATTTTGTTCTTTAGATGCCACTTATAATGAAATCATATGGTATTTATCTTTCTCTGACTGACATTTCACTTAACACCCTCTAGGTCCATCCATGCTGTCACAAATGGTAAGATTTCATTCTTTCTTATGGCTGAGTAATATTCCATTGTACATATGTAGCACTACTTTTTTTATCTGCTCCTCTATTGATGGGCACCAGGGTTACTTTCATATTTAGGCTATTGTAAATAATGCTGAAATGAACATAGGATTGTGTCTGTTCTTTCAAATTAGTGCTTTGGATATATACCCAGAAGTGGAATCGCTAAGTGATAAGGAAGTTCCATTTTTAATTTTTTTTTTTTTGAGGAACCTCCATACTGTTTTCTTTTTTATTGTTGAATTTATTGGTGTTACATTGGTTAATAAAATGATATAGGTTTCAGGTATACAATTCTATAATACATCATCTGTATATTATATTGTGTTGTTCACCACCCCAATCCATACTGTGTTCTATAGTTGCTGCAGCAATCTGCATTTTCACCAATAGTATACAAAGGTTCCTTTTTCTCCACATCCTCACCAACACTTGTTTTTTGATGATTTATTGATGATAGCCATTCTGACAGGTGTGAAGTGATATCTTATTGTGGTTTTAATTTGCATTTCTCTGATGCAAAGATTGTTTCTTTTTTCTTTTTCTTTTTTTATTGATTTCAGAAAGGAAGGGAGAGGGAGGGAGAAATAGAAACGTCAATGATGAGAGAGAATTATTGATAAGGCTAGAGAATTCTCTTGCTCTTTCATTTGGGGGTTGTTTCTTTGTCTCCTCATTTTGGCTGTCTGTTTGGGTTTTGACTATGTATTCGGTAGATCCTCTACACCTCTGAATTTCTAGTGCAGGACTGTGTCAAATGCTGTTTCTGATTAAGTAGATCAGGCAAAGCCTCAAAACCTCCAGAGACTGCTGCTGCCTACAGATTGATAGGATTCTGACTTGACTTGCCCCAGGGTGGGGCAGTTGCTTCTGCCTGGAGTCTAATTGTTATTTTTAGTCTGTTAAGTGGTCTCAGAGCAAGGTGTTTTCCAATAGGGTGGGTCAACTGTCTTCTCCCCAGGCAAGTCAAATGTCTGTTTGAGAAAGATGTCCTCTGCTGCATGAGGGAATGACTCAGCACAGGAAACTAGGGTCATCTGCCTTCTGAGCTCTGACCCCTGAGTCCCCAGTCCTGGCTTCTGCTCACACAGCTCTAGTCTACTCTGCCCTCCCTCTGTCAGAGCACATGGTGGGTGGCTCCACAGGGAATTTAGTGCATTGGTCCTTTAAGAGGGTGCCTGAATTTTCAGCAATCACTCTCTGGCAGACAGCAACCCCGCTGCTTTTCACAGCCAGACATTACGTGGGTACCCTTCTCAGTTGTGTTCTTTGCTGGGGGACATAGCTTGGGGATTAGATCCCAGAGTTCTCAGTGGCAATCCCCATAGCTGAGATATCTCTCCGGGACTTCAGTTGCTGTCTGTGGGTGCCCGGCCAGTCCTTTAGCACCTCCGCCCCTCCTACCAGTCTCTATGCAGTCTCCACTTTTGGTGTCAGGGTTCTCTCCTGCAAGTTTTACATTGATTATTCAGGACGTTTTTCTATATTTTATTTTTTTATTGATTTCAGAGAGGAAGGGAAAGGGATAGAGAGAGAGAAATATCAATGATGAGAAAGAATCATTGATTAGCTGCCACCTGCACGCCCCACACTGGGGATCGAGCCCACAGTCTGGACATGTGCCTTTGGCCGGAATCGAACCTGGGACCCTTTAGTCCGCAGGCTGGCCTCTATCCACTGAGCCAGACCTTTCTGTATTTTAGTTGTAATTCCAGTTTGTTCCTGGGAGCATGTCTGTGCAGCATCCACTCACTCTGCCGCCATTTTTAATCTCTCCCTGATCGGTCTTTTTAAGAAATAGTGCCACACTGGGGGTTCAGTGTTGCTGCTCTGTTGCTGGCAGGTTGAACATTCAAAGCGGACAATTACTAGATTGGCCTTCATAAGTGGGAGTCTATGTTGTTTGACCCATGCAAAGCCTCCATCTCTGCCACTGTGGCCATGTCATGTTTGCCTTGTCATGCCAGTGAATGTCAACTGGCATTCCATATTCCAATATTTTCCAATATTTTAAAATATTCCAATATTTTATCCACTTGGTTATTTGGTGTCCAGACCATGTAGGTGCTTTCATTGGGCATTAAAATACAATAAAATAAATTGTCACACCTTGTGTCCACTGTCATATGTCCATCTACATATCTCTTTCCCAGACTGTCTTGTCTCTGATATTTTAATTTTTCTCTTTCCGGGTCCCTGATCATTAACCACGAATCCATGTACATTTTTACTTTGGGCCATTCTCCTTTTGTACAAGTGGGTGACCAGGTGCACCTTCTGAAGCTCTGCCCACTGGGAAGATTTGTCTTTCACACAGTGTCTCATTACTGTCTTTCACAGCCACCCTTGAATAAGGCTATAATGCAGACAGCATCCACTTTTAGTTTTGTATACTGAATCAGCCTAGCCATAAACCAAGCTAGGAGTTTTTCATCCTCCTTCAGCTGGTTAAATGGGAGGGCCATATGGTCATCTGTGGTGTGCTTTTTGTTTTGTTTTAAAGAATATTAATATTTTATTTTATTTAGAAAGAGAGTGGAAGCAAGAGGGAGGGAGAGAGAGAAAGAGAGAGGGAGAGAAACATCCATGTGAGAGTGCAACATCAATTAGCTGCCTCCTTCCCCCTGTTGGGGGATGAGTCCACAATCCAGGCATGTGCCCTTGATCAGGAATTGAAACAGCAACTTCCTGGTGCATGGGATGGTGCCCAACCAACTGAGCCACACCGGCCAGGGCAGGCCCATATGGCCAGGACCTGATGCAGAGCCATTCTCTACTCTGAGCCCTGCTCAAAGCTGGCATCTTCTATATATGGGTTGGGCAGTTTTCCTAAGTGTGAAATGTGTTGCCTCCAAAGCCAAAGAGGCTTAACAGTCATTGTGCTTCCTTCATTGTTGTAGTGGATGTGTGATGCAGCAATCTGTCCTTTACTTTGAAGGGAATGTCCTGGCTTGCACCTGACCATGGCCTGTGCAGAAACTTTACTGAATTGGCAAGTACTTCAATTTTTATAGTTTATCTCCCTCCTTCTGGAGTACATGTATCTTACCAAAGTCTCCAGCATGCTAACACCCTCTTACTCATGCTGCCAGATCAGCATGATGTCACCAATGTAATGAATCAATATGATGTTTTGCAGTGTGTCCAGATGGTCCGGATGTCTTCAGGCTAAATTATGACAGATGGTAGCAAGTTAACATGGCCCTGGAGCAAACTGTTTCTGATCTTTCCTGATTGGGATAGAAAAGTACACATTCACCAAATCAATGCTGTATACTATGTACCAGAGACCATATTATTTGTCCTAACAAAAAAACTACTGGCTGGGCAGCTGTGATTAAGAATACTTCTTTGTTGAGCTAGCAATAGTGTCCAGGATCCATCTGGTCCTTTAAGAGTCAGACCAGCAAATTAAACCGATATTCCAGGGACTTCCATGCCTGCATCTTTAAGAGTGGCATTAATCCCTGCTATTTCTCACTAGGATTATACTGTTTTTGACTCACTATATAGGTGGGAGGGGTCCACTTGACCTTCCCCTCTATGATAGCTCTCACTAACAGGCCCAAGGTGTGGGTTACTGCCATGTATGTCCATCTCAATTATATATTTAGGGATCAGAGAAATGAGTATCTAAGTGAGTTCACAGATCCAGTGGACTCTTACTTTGGCCAAGACTCCATTTATTACCTGGCTCCTATATGCCCTCACTCTAGCACAGAACCCATGATGAAATCTCTGGTTGTTAGGTATCAGTGTCAACTTGGACCCTGTCTTCAACAGTCTTTGAAATGTGTGAGTATTCCCCTTCCCCCAGTGAATAGTCACAAGTACATGACCCAGATTCCTTTGGGGAAGCACTGGGGAAATCATTATGTATTGTAGGGTTCTTCATACTGGGACCCAGTCATTTCTTTAGTCAGTGGGCACCAGGTCTGAAAACTGGTTCAGGTCCAGAATCTGGGAAAGAGATTTGGGGCGGGGGGGGTGGGGGGTGGGGGAAGAGTAGTGCAGGGCAACTTCTCCTCAATTTCCTGCTCATCCACTTTACTCTATTTTGATTATCTAAAGCAGTGGTCGGCAAACTGCGGCTAGGCAAACTGCGGCTCACGAGCCACATGCAGCGCTTTGGCCCCTTGATGGGCCACGAAGTTTCAATCGCACTGTATGTGCGCGCCCGCACGTGGTATTTTGTGGAAGAGCCACACTCAAGGGGACAAAGAGCCACATGTGGCTCGTGAGCTGCAGTTTGCCGACCACTGATCTAAAGAATTAAGCAGTGCCTTTTGGCTGCTCAGTTATTTTGCCTTTGGGGATGCTGTGTTCTATTAATCATCCCCTAACTAGGGACACAGTGACCCTCTGGCTTCTGATGGTGAAATGCTACCATTGGTCTTTCTTGCTCCAGGGCCTTCTCTCCCCATTGAGCCAAATTCTGTTACTGCTTTTCCTGTCATTAACCCTGGCCTGCAGAGACCCCCCTCACATTTCTAATGCCCTTGGTGAATGGTGTATTCTTTAGGCCTCCCTGGGAAACACAGTCCTTCTGGCTTCATATAACACATCCATTCCAGCATTCCCACTTCCCTGAGTCTTTACTCCCTCCCTCTTCTGTATACCATGTGAATTCAAGCATTTCAATTCAGGATCTGTGAAGGCTATTCTGTTTCCCAGGTTTCCAGGAGTTACTCTAGCTGCAAATTACAACATCCTCTAGGGCAGCCGTGGGCAAACTACGGCCCACAGGCCGGATCGGCCCGTTTGAAATGAATAAAACTATTGAAAAAAAAAGACCGTACCCTTTTATGTAATGATGTTTACTTTGAATTTATATTAGTTCACACAAACACTCCATCCATGCTTTTGTTCCGGCCCTCCGGTCCAGTTTAAGAACCCATTGTGGCCCTCGAGTCAAAAAGTTTGCCCACCCCTGCTCTAGGGTCATAGCTTAAATATTAAATTATCTTGTCCTGAGAGTGTCAATAAACAAAGTTAGTTACAGCTTTTCGTTATGTCTATAGGGTGAAACTTCATAACAGCCCTGGCTGGGCAGGTCAGTTGGTTCGAGCATCATCCCGATAGCCAAGGTTGCAGGTTCATCCCTGGTCAGGGCACACAGAATAACCAATCAATGAATGCATAAATAAGGAAAAAAACAGATGAATCTCTCTCTCTCTCTCTCTCTCTCTCTCTCTCTCTCTCTCTCTCTCTCTCACACACACACACACACACACACACACACACACTCTCAAATCAACAAATAAAATTTTTACAAAAGAAAATTCCCATAACAACCCTCAAATTCCATTATTCTTATATTTATTTTTCCCCTTACATTTCAAATGGCTAAATCATTGCACCAGCCAGTTCATTCCTTTCCACTGGCACATTGTCCTAACTCACCCTCAGAGAAAACTTTAGAAACAGGACTCACCTTTTGGTAGGGGCTCTCTGTGCTATACCCATCACTCAGAATGGGATGCTTATTGCTAGTCAGGTGGGGAGTGATCTAGTCTCCAAATCCCATCTTCTTGTTTTCTTGGACTACTTCTAGTACCATCTGTGCTGGCTGGGCTCTCTGGGAAGCAGACACTGAGGGAGTGAGCAGTGTAAAAAGTGTATGGAGAGGAACACCTATGAAAGAAAAGGGGAGGAGGCTACATGAGTAGAGGGGCATCAGCCTGGAATCTCTGCCAGACCAATGGAGAAACTTGAGCAGTGCTTGTTAGATGAGGTGTAAGCTGCACAGGAATGGCTAGACAGCCTTGCGCAGTCATCCAGTCACCAGGTAAGTCAGCCAAGAAGAATGTTATCTTGGCTACCATTGTCACAGCTCATCATACATAGCCTGGGGGCCACCTTGAGAAGTACCTGAGCTGGGCTCTAAGTCTAAGGTGAATACAAAAGGTGCTAATCAGCTGAGAGCTGTCAGCTAAATCCACTTTTTGCAGCTGAATAGAAAGACTTTCTTGAAAGGGAATCTGAGTAGTACATGTTCATGGCTACTCATTTTAGCATTTTAAGTTACGTCTATTATGGCCAAGTATTCCTATTTTACAGCTCCCAAGCAGTGAGAGTGAGAAAAAGGGAAAAAATGAGGCATGAAAAGTGTGAAGCTCTGTACAGTGATACCTGACTGCTCTGCCACCAGTTTGTAAGACACAGTAGGTCACTCTGCACCCATTCTCCCTCAGCAAGCGGGGCTTCCCCAGAGGGAATGCAAGAAAACACCATGTTGTGGTTGAGCATCGACCTATGAACCAGGAGGTCAGGGTTCCATTCCCAGTCAGAGCACATGCCTAGGTTACAGGCGCAATCCCCAATAGGGGCCGTGCAAGAAGCTGCCTATCGATGATTCTTATCATTGATGTTTCTATTTCTCTATTCCTTACCTTTCCTCTCTGAAATCAATAAAAATATATTTAAAAATAAAGCACCATTTTTTCAGGAATGGAGAAAACAGGGGGAATGTGTCTTCCTGGCTCCTTCTCATCTATCATTTCCAAAAAACGAGTTTCACCTGGTATGGAGTTCACACTTGAAGTTGCATCTTCCATCCCTTCAGGGAAACTAAAGTTTCGGCTCTGCACGGTGGTGTTTCAACCCAGCCTAGAAATAGAGGGTGGCTCAGCACCAGTAGGTTCAACAGCTACTCACAAATAGGAGCCAGCCACACAACTCCCAAAGGCAGCAGTGGTGGGTGGTCTGAGATACAGGCAGTGCTTTCTGAAAGAAAGGTAATTGAATAGAGCTGAGAAGGTCAACTAAGTTTACATCTGATAAAAAAAAAAAATTGTGTTGAGTAAGACTCCCTCCACGTTCTGCGTGGAGTAGGGTTCGGTATCTGAAAGAGGAGCTGCACAACAAATGAGAGAAAAAGACATGAGATCATTTTGCAATATTGGGGGACCAGGCGGGCAAGTCCCGAAGGACTTCCACCACTGCTCAGGCTGCTCCAATCTTTTATTGATCTGGAGTAGCCCTTAGGGTAAGGAGGTTTCAATGACACACAGATCAGCAAACAATTTCCAGGAATAGACAAAGTATCTGATTAGCTCATCAATAGATTTCCGGGAGTAGGCAGAGTATCTGATTAACAATAATCAACAAGGATCTACATAAGTATCTAAGGAATTAAGGGAACTGAGGTGGGGAAGCTTCAACTATTATTACCTAAATTAACTGGGTGGTGCACAGTTCTGACCTTTGCTAGAACTTCAAAGGTTACTAGCTTTTGGGGGATCTCTATCTAAACTCAGCTAGTGAAGATAATGAATGGACTCCGGCAAATTGAATTTTCATTTTTGGGCTGTATCAAAGAGGAATAGCATGCTTAATTTAGGACTTCAATATTTCTTTAAAGCTTAAAATAAGTATTCCGTATTATTATTAATGCAACATGTGTTCATATGTTAACACAGGTATATTTGAAACTGCAAGTAATCTGAAACAAGAAACTTTAAATACTACTGAGATACCACTTTTAAAACCGTGTATCTCTTTTCATACATTTTCTAGGCTTATTTACAAAAAGGAGATCCTACTATAAGTACTGTTTTGTAAACTATCTCTTTCACTTAATAATGTGTCTTAGAGATATTAATAAACATGTATCTTTAATATCATTTAAAAACTATCTTTGGCCTGGCCGGAGTGGCTCAGTTGGTTGGAACGTCCTGTGCACCGAAAGGTTGCAGGTTCGATTCCCATCAGGGAACATACCTGGGTTGGGAGTTCAACCCTGGTTGGGGCACGTACTGATAGCAACTGATCAATGTTTCTCTTTCACATTGATGTGTTTGGTTTTTTTCTCTCTCTAAAATCAATAAAAAACATATCTCAGATGGGGATTAAAAAAAAATCCACCAATGAATGCATAAATAAGTAGAACAACAACTCAATGTTTCTCTCTCTCTCTCTCTCTCTTTCTCTCTCCCCCCTTCCTTTCTCTATCTAAAAAATCAATTGCAAAAATAATCTTTATATCCTAAATTTTATTTCTCTTTTCATTCTTAATGTCCTATCTAGGGAATCCTTTGAAACTCATACACTTAATCACTGTGTTACTTAACCCCCATCCTCCCCTACCTTCCCTCTGAGGTTTGACGGTCTGATTGATGCTTCTCTGTCTCTGGATTTGTTTTTGTTCATCAGTTTATGTTGTTCATATATTCCACAAATGAGTGAGATCATGTGATATTTATCTTTCTCTGACTGGCTTATTTCATTTAGCATAATGCTCTCCAGTTCCATCCATGCAGTTGCAAATGGTAAGAATTCCTTCTTTTTTATTGCAGTGTAGTATTCCATTGTGTAGATGTACCATGGTTTTTTAATCCACTCATCTACAGATGGGCACTTAGGCTGTTTCCAAATCTTAGCTATGGTAAATTGTGCTGCTATGAACATAGGGATGCATATATCCTTTCTGATTGGTGTTTCTAGTTTTTGATAAGGCTAGAATCCTTTAGCCAGAGCTACCCACCCGTCAGAGGAGTTTGGTGTCTCACAGCGATAGGCCTGCTCGAGTCTCCCTGCCACAATTCAGTTACTGGTTAGGAGCAGCCTGTGGGAAATGTGGTGGATTCATAATGCAGTGCTAGGGTCCAACCCCAGCAGGTCCAGGGGTCCCCAAAGGTGTGGACGGAGTCGGCGAAGAAGGAATGACATGGAGGCAGCGTTCAGTTGATCAGCAGCCTAGCCAGGATCTCCAGCCAGGATCTCCAGCCAAGTTCTGGTCTGGATCTCCAGAGAGGTTCTGCCTCAGATCTCCAGCCAGGTTCTGTGTCCACGTTCTCTTGCTAGGTTCTCCAGCCAGGTTCTGTAGCCATGTTCCCTTGCTAGGTTCTCCAGCCAGGTTCTGTCCAGGTTCTCCAGCCAGGTTCAGTCACCAGGTTCTAGTCAGGTTCTCTTGCCAATTTCTGTAGTCAGGTTCAGTCCAGGATCTTTTGCCATGTTCTCTCGCTAGGTTCTGTCTCTAGGTTCTGAGGCCAGTTTCTGTCCAGGATCTTTTGCCATGTTCTCTCCAGCGAAGTTCTTCTGTCTCTTAGAGAACGTTCTGTGTAGGTTCTGTGCCTAGGTTCCGTCTCTCTTGGTTCTGTGTTCTAAGTTCTGTGTCTTGCTGTCTTATTACATCTGTATTTATACCAGTTGATTCAATCCTATCAATCTCTATTACAAAGGTTAGGGCGTTTCTTATCTCCATTCCAGGGAGTAAGGATTATGTAGCTTAAGCATGATTGTTCATAGTTGAAGTGATTAATTACCCACCTGGCACTAGTTAAGAGGTTTTATTCCCTCCCTAACTTCAGGGGAAAATCCCTACCTGGGGAAACAACCTTTCTCAGAGACCTTGGTTAAAACACATAGTGCCAAGAAGGTGAGCAAATATATTAAGAACAGTATGCCATATATGCCAGGTCCTTTGAAACAGCAAGGATGGACCGGCTCCCGGCAAATTCCCCCTTTTTTATTTTTTAAAAGCGGGCATTAAAAAGAAAAAACCCCAGATGCTCTCTTGTATCCATTTTAAGAGTAGGATTGGCGCTTTCCGCTATTACCTGAGTCCTAATCTATCACCCCAGGGAGAGCTTGCCAATCCTGCACTTTCCCGGGGTGGAAAGGCTGCAGTGGGGTTAAGGATAAGGCTCCTTGGGCCAACCTCCTCCCATGCCTTTACATTTACCTTTCCTTCCTCAGAAAAGCATGGACATACTTCTTGTATAAAAAGTTCTGTCTGACTGGGAGTAACCTTAATTCCTCTGCTAGCAAGCATATGTGTTAAAAGATCAATACAGAGTCTTATTTCTTTAGACTCAGTGTGGCACATCTTCTTAATCTAAAGATCAATACAGAGTCTTCTTTCTTTGGACTCAGTATGGCACATCTTCTCAATCTAAGTTCTGTACTATCCACCTTCTTACCCTATTTATCCTCTATAGGGGGGTCTGTAGCACCCTGGTGGAGTCCTATCCGTCCCGAATGTGGGGGTTTTCAAGGGGGGGGGCTTACCTAGGGAAATCCTGTTCCAGGGGTTCCCAAAGGTGTGGACGGAGTCGGCGAAGACTATCCACCCTCTTCCTACGGTGGAGTCCTATCCGTCCCGAGTGCAGGGCGCTTACCTAGGGGTCCCTGTTCGGGCGCCATTTGCTGGGGTCCTGCCCCAGCAATGCAGCAGCCGGGGCATCAGTATTATGCTCAGAGATCTGAGAGGCAATTTCATGGCTGCCACAAACACCATCTGTGCTTAAAAACACACACTTGATACTATTCATTCATTGACTCATGACACATTGAGGGCAAAATATGAATACGATGTGGTGCTCACATTCTAGTAATTGGCTTCAGTTTTAGTGAATTATCATGAATAGTGTTTCAGAAATTAGAAACAGAAATAGACAGATTTCCAAAATCCCCTGAGGCAGATCTTCAGGGTATGGCTTTATTATTTTGTTTGAAATGATTTTTCAGATTCCAGGGTAAATTCTAAGAATGGAGTTTGGGTTCTTCCTCTTTCCGTAGCATGCTTTCCTGTATTTATCTTACCTAATGCAGATCATCTGGGTGAGTTTAACATAATAAATTAAAATCTAGAATGTGGAACAATAACTGCATTTCTAAAAAATGTTTTTGAGAGTAAGAACAATGTACACAAACCCAAACACACAATTTTCCTTACTTTCCTATCATGTATCCTTTATTTTATATTTATGATCGTGTATTGATTTCCTGTGGCTGGTGTAACAAATTACCACAAACTTCGTGACTTAAAACAACACAAATTTATTATCTTAAAATTCTGAAGATGAGAAGTCTGAAATGAGTCTGGGCTAAAGTCAAGGTGTCTGCAGGGCTGCATTCCTTCTGGAGTGCTAGGGTAAAATCCATTTCCTTTCCAACTTCTAGAAGTTGCCCATAGGCATGTAGCTCTTTTTATCTTGAGTCAGTAATGGTAGGAAGAATTCTTCTCATAGCATGCCACCTTTCTTCTGAGATAGATCCAACTTCTGTTGCCATATCTTTCTCTGACTTTTGACTTCTGCCTTCTCCCACTTTTAAGGACCCTTGGGACTCTATTGAACCCACTAGGATAATCCAGGACAATTTATTATTTTCAAGTTGGTTTATTAGCAAGCTTTATGCCATCTGCAATCTTAATTCCCTTTTGCCATTTAATCCTACATATTTTCAGGTTTCACAGATTAGCACACGAACATCTTTGGGTGGGGTAGGGGAGGAGAAGCATTATTCCACCTCCCACAGGCCTTATAGCCAAGGTCTCCAAAACACTTCACCTGCGAAGTGATGAGGGTGGCCAGTCTGTGTGAGTGGTAGGTTTAAAGAGAAGGGGGTGGTTTTGCTTGCTCCATTTGTCCTTTGGCTGCTCAAGCTGAACAGTAGATGACCACTGTTTTCAAGGAACCAACCCAACGTGTCTGGTTTGGTTCAGAGCTTGTTTCATCCTTAGCAGTGAGTGCCTCTTGGTCTGGAAAGTTAGCTTGTCTCATAACACCCACAGCTAGGACATTCTCTATGTAATTATGAATTGCATTTGTTTTACATTAAAAGAGAATGATCACTAGAGTTTGTCGGTGTTGGATTTTTCCCACTGTGAGGTTCTTAACCTTTTTTTTGCTTCATAATTAATATTAAAGCAATTCATGTTAGAGATCCTTTCAATATGGAAGGTTTGTAATGGAGACCTAACATTTTATTGTTTATAATAAAAATCATCTATACAGGAAAAAAAAAATACCCAGCCCCAGTCAGGCACATGCAGGAAACAACCAATCAATGTGTCTCTCTTACATTGATGTTTTTCTTTCTCTCTCTTCCCCCTCCCCCATCCCTTCCATTCTCTCTAAAAATCAATGGGAAAAATATCCTTGGGTCAGGATTA